ATGTATCTATACCCGATGTGCCCGCAACTTCGTCCCCGTGGAAGTGACTTTGGATAGTTCTTCACAGCTCCTCCATCGTAGGTTCCGTGCATGGTAATATGTAGCCTATGATCCAGACCAGTTAGTCCATTATTGCATTATTCATGCAAAATTTGAAGTAAAGAAGCAAAAACCAGGCCTATTTCCTACATCCCCATTAAGGAGAGTCACCGAAGGTATCTTTCTTTCGCGTTTAACTGTGAGTTTAGCCCGGTCATACCTACATACAGACAAACAGACGATTCTAAAAGATATTAAATCACAGTTTTGACTTTCCTACGATTTTATTATATTACTAGCTGCTGCCCGCGACTTCGTACGCGAAATCCCATTTTCTCCCGTTCCCATAAGATTTTCAGGATTTTTTTTCTATCATAAGAACCTTCTCCTGACAATAACAAACACAACAAAAAAAAATCAGTTAAATCGCTCCAGCCATTCTTAAGTTATGGCGTGACAACGGGAAACGGGTTTCATTTTTATATGTAGATAATATTATTATGTATTGATAGATAACTTTTCTAACTAAACGATTCAGTTAAGTATAAATCTGATAAATTATACAAGCTCTCCACAGGATAATCACTGATTAAATAATAATTCCACGTACTGCAAAGCGCAGTTTCCTCTATTACAATATTATGTGCGAGGAATTTATTATTTTGCTACTCGTATTACACAAGCCATTTAACCTGATTTCGCACGGTTTATATTTTGCTAAATCACACATAAGCTCAGTAAATGATCTAAAATTCATGTCATATAATATCAACAGTCCCTTATGACGCGCTTCAAAGAGCCATCAGACCACCAAGGATGGGGCCTAATAGGTCTGATGTGGATACGGAGTCGCGGAGAACCTAACGGGTTACCGGGGCTCCGGCTCGAAATGCAGGAGTAGGAACGGGGCGGTTTTTAGTCAGTAAGAGTCTGACACTTCCTCCAGCCTCACCCAGGCGGGAAAAATCATTCGGTGATATTCCCCCCTTCAAAAAAAAAAGACTGTGCATAACGGTACACTCCTCTTATGCAGAGAAGGCGTCGACATAGCCGTATTAGGCTAAGTACTCACGAAGCGATTTCCTTCCACGCTGGCCTCGATACAGATATGTATTTATAAAATTAAAGCACATTTCAAGACGCGTTTACGTCCGAGCGTAAATTATTCTACAAAGGCTGCGGGCCCGCAACCGCAGCGGGCGCATAGGACATGAGAGAAAGAATCTCTACGCTTGCAAATTGGGTTGAAGAACTTCGTTTAAAAGGTTCAGATTTTTCAGACAGCACAGCTGTTTCAATTAAATATGTAACCTTGGCCTTTAGCCAAATGCCACTTTAGCGCTTGTCTACAGAGAGAGTAGAAATCAAAATGTATGAGGATGACACTGACAAGTGTCAAAATTTACGTCAATTCCATATAATTTGGTTTTCTATTCTACATGTAGACAAGCGCTAAATGGCATTTGGCTACAGCTGCTTTTTTTTAGTTCTCGGTCTATCAGATGTGCAATTCCTTTTGTCAGTTTTTATGAAACACACAGAAAAAGAAATGGTGACAAACGTGTGTTATTCTACCGTTTTACTACACATTTTGGCTCTTGATCATGGATTAAGTAGTAGTATAAAACAAACAGACAAAGTTTCTTTCGCATTTATATGTAGTAGTATTTAGTATGGATCTGTCGCGTCGCCTACTGGCTACTCTCAAGACAGTTACACAATAAATACATAGTCCATACATAGGCACACATACAAATGTAGACTTATTTAGCATACGACTCGCGTGAACTCAATAATTTAACAGTAAAATATCAGTGCGAAGGGATTTTTTTTAAGGGGGAAAATCATTGAATGGCTTCTCCTGGCTGGGTGAAGCGGGAGGGATTGTCTGATCAGACTCTTACTGACTATAAACCACCTCGTTCCTACTTCTGCACTTCGAGCCGGAGCCCCGATAACCTGTTAGGTTCTCTGCGGCTCCGAATCGGCAGGCTCGTACACAAAACTGCGATGCGTCACCGCATCGTAAAAATGTGCGAGCTCCCTCTACGCATCGCAAGAACTTGCGAATTGATCCACATCGCGCATCAAAAATCTTATCTTCCAAAAATCTTCTTTGTTTCTTTTTCCTGTATCTCCTAAAGAATAACAGAAGTGCACACGATTTTACGGTCCATGTAGCGACATAGTTTTCAATTTAAAATACGTTTAGTACGGTTGACGGCCGTCGAAGGAATGGTCACCCTGGGAGACGCACGAAATCGCGTCGCGGCAATTCGCATCGTAATTTTTTGCGTTGCGAATTCGCATCGCATCGCAGTTTTGTGAACCTACATTTGTCCCAGTTTACCTGGTACCAGCTAGTCGGTAACCAGAGCATAGAATTCCGTCGCTAAAGGGTACAACGGGAAACTTTTTTTATATTTGTTAGCCATTATAGCCATGACCACTATCTCGCCTAGTGGTACTGGTAAGCGATGATGTGGTCTACAATGGAGCACGTCTTTCCATAAGCAACCTATTCACTCGGGCCTTGAAGACACCCAGGTTATATCCTTCAGGAAATACAGACTCTGGCAAACAATTCCACTCCTTAGCAGTACACACAATAAAATTCCTTTTACGAATACTTCTATCCGTATATCTGTCATCATCAGTCAAAGGTCTTGTTGATTATTTTTTCTATGGACATAATCATAATAATAATATGCTAAGCGACCAAAACCGTGGGTAAAAACCAGTCTACTACAAATCGTAAACTACAATAACTTGTTTACTAAACATTATTCACGTGTGTGACTCATAATATATGTTTATTATATCGTCGTAATGTAGTACCAAAAATAGTTGTTTGTTTTTATTCATTGTGCCCTCGCCACAAAGGCTTATAGGCTATCTGTCTATATGAGAATTACAGTACGATAGGAAAGCAAAGCATTGAATTCTCGAGACTGCTATTGTTATTTGTCTTTTTTATGGCATAAGCCGGTAAACGAGACGGATCACCTGATGGTAAGCAATCGGCGTCGCCTCACCCAGGTGGGAGAAGTCATTCGATGATTTTCCCCCTTTAAAAAAGGGTGTTTTTCTGTCTCCTGCATTTAAATATAGGGGAAGACGAAACTATTCGTTTTTTTCGTATAATGATATCTTCTGATGTATTTCGTTGCGGGCTCCTAGACAGTTATCATGTCCCTAGAACGCGCCGGATTTCAGTGTTTCAGTATTTTCATGGTTGTATCTACAGTAGATATTGGTGCACAGGAGATATTGCAGAGATGTTACGCCTAAAAAATATCAGGGTATCCAATTTAATAAGGGTTGCAGCTATTACCAATTATATTTTTTTACTAGCTGAGCCCGCGACTTCGTCCTCGTGGAATAGTGATTCACAGCTCCTCCCCCGCAGTTGATAGTATGATAATATGTAGCCTATATGTTGACCCGGCCTGCTAGTAATATTCATGCAAAATTTGAAGTAAATCCATGCAGCACTTTTTGAGTTCATCCCGGACATACATACAGACAAACAGACAAAAATTCTGAAAACCATATTTTTGGTTTCGGTATCGACTGTAGATCACGCCCAAGCCTTTTAAAAAATATTCTATGTACATTTTTCACTTTCCTACGATTTTATTATACGTATAATAATAAAAGATAATAGATAGCGTGGAAAACGGGCATACACATCACCTGTGTTGGGTGCTCATTGTGCCCAGCTTTATGCTGAGTTGGTGACCCGTTCGGATTGGACATGTCCGCCAACACCGCGCACTTGAATGACTTATTGACTTGTTTTAGTTTTATAATTTAACTTTTATCTTTTAATTTTTCTGTTTTTATGCTTTTTTTTATATTTATATGTCTTTTCTGGCGTGCATGTCTTATGCCGAATAAACATTTTTCATTTCATTTCATCATTTCATTCATTTCATTTCATTTCACCTGATGGTAAGCAATCTGCGCCGCTCATGGACACCATGGCAACACAGACAGTATAATAATTTCCGAAACAGAAAATACATTACCAGATCGTGGAATAAAACTCTAATTACTCAATTTTTTTCAGACTTATCAGAGGAGAATAGGGGTCTTCTATCTTCAAGTCAAGCATCATCAGGCACGGACTTCCAGTCAACGGAGACGCTGACAGACTCCGTACCAAAGACCGGCTACGATTTCTTAGATAATTGGTAATTTTTGTACGTTATAAACAACATTATTTTAGTAATAGATTATTCTAAAATTGTCAATGAATTTGGTAAAGTTATAGTCTTAGACACGTATGGTCGAAATTGATACATTAATGTCAAATTCAAACGAAAAATGTTTAGGCTCAGATCGATTTTTGATCCAAAATCTGCCGATTGGTGTCGGTTTTTGACACTCCTATCATAAATTCAGAGATTTTGAAATGATATCGGTAAAAAATTTCGTTTGTTACAATGTTTTTAGACTATTCGATTCGATATCGATATAGTATCCGCCAAAATCGACCTCAGTATTTGTTTCCGATATCGGATCGGATAGCCTGTAAAGGCTGTTATCGAATGCGATGTCCCGATTTTAATTGACACGGAACAAAAGGAATGTTTTCTTACAACACACTACCTACGTTTTCTCGTTCAAAATTCACGGAAGACACTTCGAAAAATGTATTTACTTATATTACCTAGTTAAATATGCAAACACAAATAACTATTGGATTCAAGGACCAGACCTCTAGGCAAGCAACTCATTCGCCCCTATTTTTTTTTGGCTCCGCTACTCCTATGCTCAATCCCTCCACCTCCCATGGCCCCACCGATATACAATGTCATTTCGGCCGAATCGCCAGGGGTACACCGCGGATAGCCCGCCCTGTAGTCTTGCTGATTTTGATTCTGCGGACGGGCTATCACCGCGGCGCCTCTTGACCCTGTACATTGCTTGTCCCTATGTAGGCCTTCTCCCCTACCGGTTTTTTTTTCACACTGTACTCCTATGGTCAGTCGGGCTCGCGTATCTCGCGGCGTCCCTTTGGAAACTGGCGCCCTAGGCACTTGTCTAGTTTACCTGGCTAAGAGCTCATGGTGCGATCTTCTCCCGCACCCGCCGCGGTAGCGGAATGGAGGCGGAATTTTCAAAACTCACGAGACCAGTTTTATGGGATCCCGCAGCCACCGCGGTTGCGATTATCGTCCGCAAACTTGGCGGTAGATTATCCCAAGACGGGCGGGCGGTTAAACAATCAGTTAAGTTCCCGACCGGCCGTCCCATTGCGATCGCCCACCAACCGATCGCAGAGCGCACGGGTGCTAGCTGCCGTGCCCGCCGGAGCCGCAAACTATCGCAACCGCTGCGGGCGTAAAATACGCCGTGAAAATTGCTGTGACTTTTCCCATAAATATCTGCATTCTACAAAGGCTGTAGGCTCGCAACCGCGGCGGGCGCGAGAGCAAATCGCGCCGTAAGTCATTACCCTTAGGAATAATACGGCTCTGTGCCTTTACCCAAACGCCACTTTAGCGCTTGTCTACAGAGAGAGAGTAGAAAACTAAATGTATGAATGACACTAACAAGTGTCAAAACGCGAGTTTTGACACTTGTTAGTGTCATTTTTGACGCGAGTGATGCCGCGAGTAAAAGCTAGTTCCATATAATTTGTTTTTCTATTCTACATGTAGACAAGCGCTAAATGGCATTTGGCTACAGCTGCTGGTTGGATTCGTAACATAGATCTGTAGAGTGATCAAAAAACTTCTATAAATACGTGTATATATATATATCCTCAAATGCTTGTTAGAAGACGTGATGTTATATGGCGGAAGTAATACAATAAGGAATGTCTTTGACTCAAGATAACACTCATTAGGTTAATTACATTTATATGTACTTAGTTGTTATCTTAATTTACTCATTGTTTCTTAGAATTAGCTGTGAGTATCTAGGTATGTAAGCGCGAAGGAATTTCGGGATTAACTTTAAAGTTTAAAGCGAGCGGTCGATTCCCGTTCGGGTAAAGTATTACTGGGTTTTCAAAAAAATCTCAGTATTAGCACGGAGTCTGGGATTGTGCCCTGTATACGACAATAGGTGAATCGGCTCACCCCCTATTACATGGGACTCATTAAATAAATAGTGAAAAGTGAGTGTTACATTGTACAGTGGCTTTAAGTGCGGCACTTAACTCCACTGTACAATGTAACACCCACTTTTTAGTATGTCTGTTATAAGTCCCATGTAATAGGGGGTGAGCCTATTGCCATGCACATTCTCAGACACCGTGCTACTATAGAGATTAAAAAAAACCAGTAATACTTTAGTTCAACTCGGCACTCGCACTTGCGACCACTCGGCCAACGAGGTAGTATATAGTCATATTTATATTTAGGTTAAAATTAGGCTAAGGATGAAAGAACAATTTTCGAAAAATCTCAGTAAATGAAGTAGAATGGAGTTTGGCATTTATGCCCTGCGTTTAGCAACATAACTCCATATAAGTTAGGGTATAGAAATTGTAAGGTAGTGTTATATTTACTCTGCTTATCCCTACGGTAATTATCGCATCCTATTGCTCCATCGCATCAACGCTTACCACCAGGCGAGATAGTCGTCAAACGTCAGCCCATAAAATGTATAAGATGTACTATTCCCAATTGGTTCAGTACTTGCGGAGCTTATTCAACGCAGACAAACATATTTCTTCTCTCTATAATATTAGTTATGAAACTGGCCTTAAGTATTAAAAATTGCCAAATAATAATTTTGTTCCTCGTTTTTATAGGAATACTCAAGTTTTGTCTAGACTGGTTTTTATATCTAGATTTAATTTAACACTAATTTGGTCTAATTATTAACTTGTTTAGGTTAGGACGCACTTGAAGCTATCCCATTCAATTTTAATACATTTTTAACTCTATAAAAAAGTTATTATGGTTGAAAATACTATACTATAACACAGGGAGTTTTCATCAACAGCCTATATAAGTGGTCACTGTTGACCACAGGCCTCTTCTCACACGGAGAAGGTTTGAGCATTAATCACAACGCTTACTCAATGCGATACAACACAAGTGGTTGGCCTTTATAAAACATACTTTAGTTTGGAATGACTTGATTTCTATATGTATAATAATATCTAATATAAAGACTACTACTGACTGCCCATATAGTTCTAGTTCTATCTACCTCCCTTATGGGATAATAGATATATCGTATCGAAAATCTCCATAATTTGTTCAAACGAAAGTAGTCTCTAAACATTGGAAATAATGTGTATAATGCAGTGAGTGGAAAGCGGTCACCGTGAACCGCTTGGGTATTGACTGTTTGTATAGAAGTCATTACTATTTATTGACTTAAAAATATCGCAATATTTAGAATTAAAATTGTATAAATTATTTTATTACTATGAATGGGGATGTTTTCGATTTCAGAGGAGGGCAAAGTAATATTCTGTTATTTTTAAAATCTTGACTAATTATACTATCTAACGATATATAGTAAATAGTTTGCCCTCCCTTAGAAGTGGGAATTATGAACACATTTAGTAATAAGTCCTATTAATAGTGCACCTCTGCCTACCCTCTTTTGTCTTGTTATTTTTGACCTGAAAAAGCATCCCTGTTCTTAATTGGAGATTAAATAATGCTCTCATAATGCATTTAAACTTTTTATATTACTTAGTTATTAAGTATGTAGTATTTAAAATGTATGTTTTCATATCAATATAAAGAATTGCCCATACAATGTGGTTTTTTTATTGATCCCGATTTGGTGAATTTATCAAGTGGTTTTGTGTGGGAGCATGCCCATGCTTCAGCACGTGTGCGTTACCCAGGCCAGATGTTGTTGCTGGGGTAACGTTACCCCAGCCGGACCTTTTTCTTTCTAATGGGAATATTTAAATAATGACTAGCTATTATATTAGTTGTGTAGATGAAGTTACCCCTGCAGGAAATGTTTTTGTGAAATAATAAAAAAAAACTATAAGCGCAACAAATTTAAAAATGTGCGCAACAATTACAGAAGCCGCAAAACTAATTATCTATAAGATTCAAATGACCATTTTCGGAACGATACCACGGTGTTACGGAAAACCGACATGTAACAATGCTTGCGTTGTGTGAATGAGGTTACCGGAGACCCAATTACTCCTCCCTTCCCAATTCCCGAATCCCCAATAATCCTTAAATTCCTAATCCCTATAAAAGGCCGGTAACGCACTTTTATCACTTCTGGTGTGTTGGGTGTGGGCGACGCCGCTTGCTTACCATTCCATAAAAAAATAAAAATTATACAAATATATAAAAAAATATATGTCCCAATTAAGTATTCCATGTACTAGAAAACATCGCTGCTAAACATAGGCTAGAACTAGATCTTAATGAAGCTATGAGCTCTTTCCAAGTTATATCAATATGGAAAAGATTGACCAATAACTCCATCGTTATTTAAGAAATCATGTTCTAAGTTAACATATCATATGAAACAATAAAAGACCATAGCTTTGAAAAAAAAAATTATAATAATAAATATGCTATGCATACATAACAAAAAGCTGTGGATACAAAACCATCAATTAGAATCAGATAATACAGTTTACTTACGTAACTTTCGAGGACGCTAGACTAATTTCGAGCTGCGACCGGAGCCCTTAATCGTTTGCAATATGCGCGACGACCGTTTCTCGTGTCGGTACAATCGAGTAGGACTGTATTATCTAATTTATAGATTCTTTAAATCAAATAATAAAAATTTATACTTAAGGTTTAAAAGAAATGACAAAAATCTTAGTCTTAAATTATTATGGCAGATTTTTAGTATCCGGTGATTATCATGCCCTTTTCCACTTGGTCAGCCTTATCTTTGCCAGTTAGTAACTCGATCAATTTCAGTCCAAACCAATATGCTGTGCCGGGACCCTGAAAAAGACAAAACGAGTTTTAACACATTAAATGGCATGGGGGTCACCGGGAACGACGTTAGCGAGGATTTGCCTTCAACAGTTGTCTATTGGCAGTCAAAACTCTTGTGCATGATGTGTTCGCCTTTAATTCATAATTGTAAACCCGATTTGTTGTAATATGATGTGTAAACAGTCGTTGGCCCTAAATAAATAAATTAAAAAAAACCTTAAGAATGCGTGTTTTGTCAGTGGTCGCGAGTGTAAATAACAAGAGAAAGGTTTACGATTGGTGTTCGGGACGGGCAATATCCTGGGTATTTTGAGTTTCGTTGTCATGACAAGAAGTCAAGAATTAACTGGGCTAACGGGTAGGTACTGAGGCCCCGGCTGGAAGCAGGAGTAGGAACGGTGGAATGGTATTAGTCAGTAAGAGTCTGACACTCCCTCCTGCCTCACCCAAGGTGGCATTTTATGATTATTACCCCACAGGAAAAGGGAGTCAAAAGCTGTAAGTTTTGTTCGTATCAAATAATAATTTAGCGAGATATTATAAGGACATTTGTGTTTTTGTATTGTAACTTTCGTGAGACATACTAAATAAATTATTATGTTTTCGGCTTACTCACGTAATTATTTGACAAGAAACTCGACTAGTTTCAAGCCACGCTAGAGGCTCATATTCATGAGCAGTATTTCGCGACCCGCGACGCGGCGACTGTCGCACTGCTACAATACAGTAGCATGGCTTGAAACCAGTCGAGTTCCTCGTCAAATAATTACGTGAATAAGCCGAAAACATAATAATTAACATTTGTGTTTTCAGTCAAAACTGTGTCTTAAGTATTCGAATCAGAACTGATTAAAAATTAAATAAATAATGTATTTTTGAATAAGGCTAAGGTGTTACGGCGCAATCTTCTCCCGCGCCCGCCGCGGTGGCGGAATGGAGGCGTAATTTTCAAAATTCACGAGACCGCAGTTTTCTGCGAACCCGCAGTCGCCGTGGTTGTGATTATCGCCCGCAAACTTAGCGGTTGACTATCGCCCGCAAACTTGGCGGTTGATTATCGCAAGACAGGTGGGCGGTTAAACAATCAGTTGAGTTCCAGACCGGCCGTCCCGTTACCAACGCCCGCCAATAGGCAAACAATTGCAACCGCCGCGGGCGTAAACCATGCCGCGAAAATTGCTTTGATTTTTGATTGCACGCTTGGCGCGGTGGCTGGGTAACTGGCTGCCACGCAACGTGTCAAGGGTTCGATTCCCGCACGGGACAACTATTTGTTTGATCCACAGATTGTTGTTCCGGGTCTGGGTGCCATGTGTATGTTAAATTGTGTTTGTAAACGCACCCATGACACAGGAGAAAATGCTAGCATCGGGCATTGCATAAAAAAAATGTAGGCTGCGGGCCCGCAACCGTGGTGGGCGCGGGAGACAATCGCGCCGTGAGTCCTTAGGCTTAAACTTACCCTGCTAGTCACAACGTTTCCATCAACCACGACTCTCTCTCCTTCGACATAGGTATAGCAGTCTGCTGGTATCTTGTCTTTCGTGGTAGGATACGATGTGATCTTCTTGTTCTGAGCTATGCCGTGGGCTACGAATGCTGTTGGTGCTGTAATAAAAAAAATTATGTAGTCAATTCAAACGAAACGAAACAAATTCATTACTACAAAATAGCAATTTCATATGTCCCATCTTTTACATATTATAATACTAGCCTCTGCCAGTGGCAGTGGCGGCTAGTGGGTTATCGAATTGGTGGTGTACTTTACTAAAATATTAAAATTAGAAATTGCAACAAAACAAAATATGTACCTATGTGTTTATTTTTTATACAGTAAACCAATGCAACGACATTTTTCTGATGCGAAATGTTCAATCACATTTTTATTAAAATCGGGTATTGTTTGTATGAATTTATTTTCAATATAACAATAATTAGCACGTCACTCATACAGTGAAACTATACAGATATTAAAACGAAATGTCAATCAATCATGGCTGCTGTCGCCTCGCGCGCATGCCGGCCAGCCAATTCGTCAAACATTGGGTGCTCTCGGCAACCCTCGGGTCGCACTTACAGCCCTCGAAAACCGACTCATTACTTGTGTGCGTTACACAGGTCAGATGTTATTCGAGATTTTGTTGGGGTAACGTTTTTGGTTTTGCTAGATCTTTGAAATAGTTAAGCGGATTCTTATTATATATTGTACACAAAGCACCGCTAATTAGTTCGTAACGCTCACATCGACACTACTGTCATTTACACAATGTACATGTGTGGGTAATTTCATATTACTGTGTATAAAAATATTCGTCCACCACGTTCACATTGGTATTTTCATTCTTGTGTCGGTATACGTATTTTTATAATTTAATGCATGGGTAAGGTTAAAACTATTTACAATCATTGATATGACCCGACATTTTCACTGTAATTATCGTAGTGCTCGTGGTCGATTGGTTAATGAGTACGCTTTTATCGTCTTTCAAGGATCAATGATGATGTGGGTTCTATTCCAGCTAAAAGTTTTTTTTTATTTTACCTTGTTGTTTTTCTTATTTATTTTTTTTTTGTTTTTTGTCATATAATATAAATATCAGGCTATAAAAGAAGCAAATCAGTCGGTAAATAAAACAATACTATTTTTTATTAAAATTAATTTATTAATTATACAAATATGTGGTTTTATATTCAATATTTATATCTAATAATTAATTATATACCACATGTTAACTTTAAAGTTCTTCCAATCATTCTAAATTATTCTAAATAATAAATAACTAGAACTAAAATATAAATAAAGGATATTATAGGTATAAATAAATCTAAAGTATTTACTATTAAAATTAACATAAGATTTAGAAAAATAGGATAGGAAAAAAAGAAAAGATTTAATTGTTTCTAATTTCACATTTCAAATATTTGATTAATTAATACTAAAACAACATGTGAATGCTGGAATCGATCCGGTGGCACTTTACTTGACCACTGGAGGCGATAACCATTGCGCCAAGCGCGCCGTAGATGAGAACATCGAAATATTGTATATCATTCAGTAACATAAAAATACAATGAGAATGCACTATATTTATATAAGTATTGTATTGCTCGATCGTTCATTATTTTTGATTTCGATTTATTCAAAGTTTGTTATGAGTATTTTTATCTTTACCCTCGTTTTTATTTAAACTTATTTACTAAAATATTACGTATACCGACACAAAAATGATATGTAATACCAAGATGTGTGTGATAGAACGAATGTTTCTATACATATCTATTAATATGAAATTACCCACACATGTTCACTGTGTAAATGATAGTAATGTCGATGTGTAGCGCCTCGAACTAATTAGCGGTGCTTTGTGTACATAGCTTAGTAGGTGTTTCTGAGGTTTTAGTTTAAATTTGTTCTGCAATAAAAAAACCAAAATAATACATAGCTTTAAGGTTATTTTATTAAGTAGAAAAACACTTCAATTGGTCCCAGCACTCTCAATAACACCTCGTAAATCTTTTTTTATTGCAGAACAAATTAAAACTAATTCCTAAGAAACATGATAAGAATCCGCTTAAACATTTCAAAGATCTAGCAAAACCAAAAACGTTACCCCAGCAGAATCTCGAATAACTTCGCAACCGATGAAAGAACAAATACAAAATGGGGCACAACATTACTTCATCTAGACAACTAATTTTGTAGCTAGTAAATATTTAAATATTCCCATTAGAAGGAAAAAGGTCTGGCTGGGGTAACGTTACTCCAGCAGTAAATGTTTTTGTGAAATAATTAAAAAACTATAAGCGCAACATAATTAAAACTGTGCGCAACAATTACAGAAGACGCAAAACTAATTATCTATAAGATTCAAATGACCATTTTCGACAACATCTGACCTGGGGAACGGACACCATTACTCGGTACATTTCTTTGAACGATTTTTGTCTCACGCGTCAGGCGTGTTAACTCGTATCTCCTACAAGTCATATTAGAAGACCTCGTGCACTTGCCGCCGCGCACGAGACTTTGTCTTAGTAGAAAAAAGGGGTTAATAGTTTAGTAAAGCGCTCAAACGGTTTCACCATAATTCGAGATTTAATTTTTTATACGGTTTTGTGTAATTAACATGTTAATATTAAAATGATAATATAAAAATAAAGATAAAGTAGGTACTTAATATTTTGAATTTTTTAAATTCTAAATAATTTGGTGGTTCAGCGCACAAACGCTCTTAAGGTACAGCCGTGGGATATAAACCAACCCCGTTTTATTTCAGACTATAATCTACCCCTGCACCAAATTTCATCCTGATCCCTTTTAATGTGATTGAGTAACAAACATATTATACACTTTGGGGGTCCACCAGTGCGGCGGAAAGTAAATAAGATATGCAATGTTAAAAAACGCTGTGTAATAAAATATAATCTTATGTACAGATATTCATTCATTGAGAAAAATTATGACGTAAGAAAACCAAAGTCTTAAACTGTCAAACACCAAGCGGTCACCGGTGACCGCAACCTATTGTTCTATAATTGTGTCTATAATGACGGTACTCAACGAGTTAACAGATTTTATTGAAAGAAGAAAATAAACTAAAGAACAGAGGTGAGCTATCTAATAGTAAACAATATGAATATGAGGAAGGTATAGAATAATGAAATCATAACAACAACAAAACGTAGGTGAGCAGCCTACAACACAATATTGATTTTGTGAGACATTAACTGTTCGACAAGTTTACTCAACTAATTTCAAGCTATGACTGGAGCTCTTAACTATAAAAATACTAAGTAAGAATAAAGGAAAATAGTAAGGGTGAAATTATCGTCCATCGTGAACAATCGTTTCAGGCCTAACACAAATTAAAAAGAAGTCGGTTAAAAAACTATTTTCTTAATTATGTGTAGTCCTAGGCTCACCCCCTATTACATGGGACTCATAATATGAATAGTGAAAAATGGATGTTATATTTTACAGTGGCATTAAGTGCCGTAGTGTGCACCTCTGCCTACCCCATTCGGGGGTAAAAGGCGTGATGTTATGTTATGTCTATTCCTAGGTTGAAATAAGTTTTTTTTTATGGCAAAGGCCGGTAAACGAGAAGACGGATCACCTAATGGTAAGCCATCTACGTCGCCCATAAACACCTGAAACACCAAGGCGTTACAAGTGCGTTCCCGGCCTTTTGGGACTTTGAGGATTGTGGAGGATTCGGGGATTGGGGAGACTGGGGAGGAGGGTAATTTGAATAGAAAAAAGTTAATTATCTATTTCTTTACCAGCACAAATAGCAGCAACAATCTTTCCTTTCTGTTCGTGTTCCTTCAGAATATTGCCGACTACCACTGATTTAGACAGGCGATCCGATCCTTCTAGACCTCCCGGCAATATGACCTGGAAGATAAACAATGTTTTTTTTATTATAATACAAATACCACAGACAGACAGACAGTAAGTACTTTGGCATGAATCGGTGGAATAGAAATAATAAGTGCTTCGTGTTCTAGTGGTCGGTTCTATCGAGTGATATCACGACGTCACAGACAAGAAGACTTAAAAGAGTGACGAATGGAGTTTCTTGCTCGTTCTTCTTCATTCGAATCTACATTTTGGAACGAGCACCTAGCTTCACTGACGGACAAACTGACAGACTATTCAGTTCATATAGATCCGATCCTTCTAGACCTCCCGGCAATATGACCTGGAAGATAAACAATGTTTTTTTTATTATAATACAAATACCACAGACAGACAGACAGTAAGTACTTTGGCATGAATCGGTGGAATAGAAATAATAAGTGCTTCGTGTTCTAGTGGTCGGTTCTATCGAGTGATATCACGACGTCACAGACAAGAAGACTTAAAAGAGTGACGAATGGAGTTTCTTGCTCGTTCTTCTTCATTCGAATCTACATTTTGGAACGAGCACCTAGCTTCACTGACGGACAAACTGACAGACTATTATTTATTTTGTATTTGTTGACGTTCCAAAATTACCAAATTATGGTTCAATTTAAATAAATGCTTTGAAATTGACTTTGAAAAGTTACAACGCTTGCATTGTGTGCAGTTGTGAGTGAGGTTTCCGGAGGTCCAATTCCCCATAGATGGACAACGCACTTGTAACTTCTCTGGTGTTGCGGGTATCCGTAGGCCATGCCGATTGCTTAATTGCTGATGCCTAATTATCATGGGTTCCATTTCCGCCTTGTAAGATTAAAAATGTATGATGTGTATGAGAAATTGATACTTTTTACGGGGTACACGGGTGTACAAGAGAGTTGAGTGCCCATCAGGCAATTGTATACACGGGTGTACGAGAAACGCGCACCGATTGGATATTTTTTCTGTGACGTATATCTTCAAGTTTGCAACCCGTTCTTTATTTGATTGAACAGAATAGTTAATTCGCTTTTCTATTAAAATATTTACCCGTGTGTACTGTACGAGAACGCGCGTTTACCCGTGTGTACGAGAAGCGCGCGAGAGGTTAAAAGGTTTTGTTCGAGGGAACTCCTTGGGTGAATGTTTTTTACCTGAGTCGTGGGTGCGTTTACAAACATACAAGTTCATATACACACCCACACCCGGAACAACAATCTGTGGATCACACAAAGAGTTGTTCAGTGCAGGAATCGAACCCGCGAAACGTTGCGTGGCAGCCAGTGTGTGCGTTACCCAGGCCAGATTAAGATAAGTTATTGGAGATTTTTCTGGGGTAACGTTTTCGCAACTGATGAAAGAACAAATATAAAATAAGGCACAACATTTACTTCATCTAGACAACTAATTTTAGTATTATTTTAGTATTATTAGAATGAAAAAGGTCTGGCTGGGGTAACGTTATCCCAGCAGGAAATGATTTCGTGATATAATTAAAAAAACTATAAGCGCAACAAATTTTACAATTGTGCGCAACAAATAATTATCTATAAGATTCAAATGACCATTCTTGACAACATAATTATAGCCTGGGTAACGCACACGCAGCCAGTTGCCCAGCCACCGCGCCAACCGTGTCGTCATAATCGTGCTTTCTCAAACTTTGCTGTATCTAGCCAACATACTCCAGTAACAAGCAGGATATTGTCACAATACATTTTTAAAAAGCCCCGGTTACATACTTACAGCATCATAAATGGGATTCTCAGCCAAAGCTGCATCGAGAGCCTTGTCCGGTACAATAGTGATCTCCCTAGAACACAATACGGGGTCAGCGCCATCTAGACCAGCTATGGTCACTGTTACCTGGAATTATTAGAACATTATTATGTTATTATTGAGTGACTTGTTTGATTTTGTTTTTTTTTATGGGATAAGCTGGTTAACGAACAGATAGCCTGATGGTAAGCAATTGGTGTCGCCGAAGTACACAGGTTACCTGAGGCCCAATTCCCCCTTCCCCTTCTCCAATCTCCCCAATCCCTGAATCGATCCTCAAACTCCTATTCCCCAAAAGGCCAGTAACGCACTTGTAACGCCTCTGGTATTCCAGGTGTCCATGGGCGGCGCCGATTGCTTGCCATCAGGTGATCCGTCTGCTTGTTTACCGGATTATACCATAAAATAAAATGGTATGAGTCTAAACATTTTGACTGCACCGCAAATGGCTGCGTCTCAAAATGTTGCGGAGTGAATTTCCGCATGAAAACAATTTTTTCTATGGTAATTAGAAAAAAAGGTCTCATACTCACTCCTCCCCGCCTCAACACATCAGCAGTGATGACAGTCTCCATCTCCTCGGCACCCTTTGCCAAAATTACTAGTGCAGTCTTCGACATTTTTGGACAGGCACAAGTTTTTAATCTGAAAAAAAGATTAGTAATTATTGTTCGTTCTTGCAAAGCTTCTGAATTACTGTCCCAATCCTGTAAACCTTGACCCTCAAAAGGTTGAGGACGCACTTGTGACTCCCAGACTAGCACCAGAGTGCTAGGGGTATATATGGGTTGACAGACATTGCTGATCATGAGCTATTTTGCAGTCCTGTCACAACAAATAAGTACTACACCTCTGTTCTCAAAACTGTTACTGAACATTATTACTTAGATTCTGGGTGCCAAGCATGAATAACCATCGCATTTGTAACGTAATAGTATCAAGCGCGTTTGGCGCTGATTGATTTTTTTTTACAGGGATAAGTCGGCAAACGAGCGAGCAGACGTATCACCTGATGGTAAGCAATCGGAAAGCCAGAGGCGTTATAAGTGTGTTACCGGCTTTTAGGGGATTAGGAGTTTGAGGATTTGTTTGGATTCATAGATTGGAGAGATTGGGAAAGAGCGGGGGGAGGGGAGTAATTGGGCCTCCGGTAACCTCACTCATATGACGAAACACAACGATAGTATTGCTTCACGTCAGTTTTCTGTGAGGCTTAGGTATCATTCCGTTCAAAACTTTCACTGGAGCCAACAATATGATTATTATGTAACAAATGCGATAGTTATTTGTGCTTAGCACCCAACTCTTCATTATGTTTGTCTATCTTCTCTGAACTCATATTTCATGAGCAATGTACTTAGTTAAAACTGTTTAAATATCCACACACAATATATTTACCTGCCACAAAAATACAGTTTAGAACTCAATAAAATCAACATTTAAACTGTCAAACACCGCGAGGACACCGGTGACCGCAAACTATTGTTCTTTAATTGTCTATAAAGACGGTACTCAACAAGTTAACTGGATGAATTTGTTTAAACTTGTGTATAAGTTTGAGAGTCCAACATGAAACATAAAGAAGTGCACCAGATGAGGAAAAATAACTACTTGTGACTCACAACTCACAAGATGCCACTTGTGGTTTTGCAATGCAACCTAGTTAGCTGTAAGTACTTACTCAATGCAACAAATATGCACTAATTGAGGATAATATAAAGCAATATGAACAGTCTACATATGAAATAAATAAAACGTTTGACCTAAAATACATCAATACATAGTATAAAACAAAGTCGCTTTCGCCTATGTCCGTATGTATGCTTAGATCTTTAAAACTACGCAACGGATTTTGATGCGGTTTTTTTTAATAGATAGAGTGATTCTTAAGGAAGGTTTATATGTATAATACATGCATATTGCACCCGTGCGAAGCCGGGGCGGGTCGCTAGTTTGAAATAAGAAATACATAAAAAAATACACTTCATATAGGGCACAGGTTCGGCTCCACGTGGAATACTGTTCTCGTCTTTGGGCGGAGGCACCCTAGTACCAGCTTCTTTCTCTGGACTGTGTTCAGCGGTGTGCTGTTCGGATTGTTTCAAACCGGCTGGACACTTTGGCAATGTGTAGAGATGTAGCTTTATTGTGCGTTTTTATCGCCTATACCACAGGAAGTGCTATAGGGCGAAGTACTAGGAATTGTTTGACCTGATACCATCTTTTCGCCATCGACCCTCACGACATCATATGCATCCCCATCTTATAGATGGTTGGCAGTAACTCCCTGCCTAGCACAGTAAAACTGTGGAATGATCTGTCGTCGGAGGTATTCCCGAATCGATATGACCTTCAAACCTTCAAGAAAAGAGCGTAGGTACTCTTTTTTAAAAGACCGGCAACACACCTGTGACTCCTCTGGTGTTGCGGGTGTCCATGGGCGGCGCTGATCGCTTACCATCAGGTGATCCGTCTGTTCGTTTGCCTCCTATTCCATAAAAACTTCGTATTTAAGACTAGACTAGCTTATGTCAGCGGTTTCGACAGCATTCCCATGGAATAAAAAGTAGCCTATACGTATTCCAGACCATAATTTATATCTGTTCTAAATCTGTTTAGGCGTTTTAATGTGATTGAGTAACAAACATACACACAACTATCGCTTTTATAATATTAGTAAAATAGTAAAATGTAAATAATAATGATACCTACCTAATTTATATTCTGAATTCTAACGGACCTACCCATTCATCGTCAAAATTAATACCAAATACCACCAAATAATGTATATTATTATGACTTATGCAAATGTTTTTAGGGTTTATAATAAATTCTAATTCTAACTAATTGAATCGAAGTGCGACCTACGTAATTTTGGTTAGGAAATTCTCGAACAGTCTGTGATATTAAGTTCAGAATATTAATTAGTACAGGAAGAACTTACCTGCTTTGCACACTGTTAAGGCTTAAAACCAATATTTGTTTATACTTCGAGTGAAATTTAGTTCTTACAAAACCACGGAACACCATCTAAATACGAAATACGAGAATTTTGACAGAATTTTTGTTGAAGGTCAAACAAAAAGTCAAAAATTGTACCGGTATTCGTTCAGAAAGTTATAATTTTAATAAATTTCTCTCGAGTTGAAACATAATTTTATGTTTCCAAATTGTAATAAATATGGATCATTTAAATGTGGTACCATTAAATAATTTGATCATTATTAAAGTGAAATAATTTGAATTATTACATAAGTGAAAATCGAAGATTGTAATTGGTGATTTCCGAACACAAAATAAATAGAGACTAGTCTATGGTAGTGTTGCTAGTTTTTAACAGTTCCCGAATAATGAGGATATGCTCGTAATAAAAATAAAAGTACCAATTTAAAAAGTTAATAAAAAAATGGTATCGTTATACTAACTGTAGATAGATGTGTAAGTAATGTAATTTTCAGGCTCCTTTGATTCATTTATAACGTCATAAATGATAACATTATTTTTTTCTCATGAAACCTGTTAATGCGCTGGATTCGCTTAAATATATAAACATATTACTTAACATTACTTAGTTGAAGCTGTTGTTGATTGTTTACAATCTAACTAAAATATAACAATTCATTTCCAAAAAAATTATGAAACCAAATAATAAAGCAGAACTATTTGTTTTTGTTTTTATTTTGAATTGTAAGTACAATGTCGTTCACGATAAGAATAGGTAAAAACCTCTTAACGTCTAATTACCACCTTTCATAGTTTCTTTTGTTTTATTGTTAACATAAATAATGAAAAGTTAGTGTTACTTCTATGTGCACCTCTGCATTCCCCTTCGGGAATAAAAGGCGTGATGTTATATTATATAATGTTATAGTTTCTTTAGTCCATTTGTAACATTTTCATCACTTCCGTTTTTGCTGCAATCCGTAAAATCGTCAGAAATTATCGAATGTTTCCGTGAACAAATATTTTAACGCAGTAAAAAATATATTATATTGTAGCAAACGGGTAAATTTAATTCGCCAGCGACATCCCCGACAGATGTTCGTTGACGGCAACTCTACTTGTCTATACTCAGCTTCCTTTCTTTCATTCACAGAATCGGAAAGGATACGAAAAACTCATTTTTTTATACTATTACTTTTACAAATATACTTACAATTTAAGTAAGGAGTCATGCGATTAGCAATATTTAGTGTAATTTACGCATTTACATGTTTTTAAAGTGTATATTTTAAGTCAAATAATTTAGTGTTTTGTTAGGTTAGGATCATACTATGGCTAGTATCTGAGAGTTATTGTTTCAAATTTTTTATAGTTTTTACCCGTGTAAAATCATGGATTTTGTGAAAAGAGAGGACCAGAATGTCATGGACGATGATAATTACAAGTTTTACCTCGAAAGCGTAAGTAATTCATTAATGTTTGTTTTAATTCAAATTCGTTCCGTTTTTCACATAAAAACTATTGATAACGTGACTAAAGTTCCGGGTATGGATCCCGGTTGATGTATTATAGTTTTTTGGCGCCTTCACTTTTTGTTGGTTTCTCTTTCAAACAGTGCACTTAATAAAAAAAAATAGGTTTTTCATTAATATGGTTAAGTAAACAAAATCAGTCTCTTGTTTTTTTTTATTTCTACTTTTTTCTAGTTACTTGGTATTATCTATGATTTATTGATTGTTCCATGTTTTTTAAAAAAATGTACTTTCTGTGTTACCATGACTAGAAATTAAAAAGCAGGCCTAATTTTCACCACAACGAGAAAAAATGTTGAACAATAATATTTATTTCATTTTATTCGAATCAGCTGTATACTATAATTATAATTATATGCAATGGTTTACTAATTGGTTTTTAATTTTGAATAATAATATTCATCTTTGTTTGGTATATGTTTTTTTATAATTTTTGTTTATCCTGATAGAAATTTTTAGGTGTTGTAAATAAACTTTTGGTTAGAAAGTTTTTTTTAATCTATAACATCTTACATACTGAATTTAATGTATCCCTACAATTATAAATGATAATGTCCCTTTATATATACAAATCAAGAGACTTTTTGGTCTGATTTCAATGAATTGTACGTACAATTATATGCCCCAAAGTATTTTAATAGCAATAGGAATAACTATGACTATATTTAAACTGCATAGATTTACATCTGAACACATGACACCTAGACCCAAAACACAAACCGTCCTGTACCTACTTCTTGTAGACACTAAAACTTGGTTCCGATTTCAAATAAAGATAACCAAACCAACATGATTGGTGCAGTGGCTGGGCAACGGACTACCGTCCAACGAGTAGAGGGTTTGATTCCCAATCCCCGATCCACAATCAAATTGTTGTTCGGGGTCTGGGTGTGATGTGTATGTGACCTTGTATATTTGTAAATGCACCTATGACATTAGAGAAAATCCTAGTGTCGGGCACAGTTTTTTAAACAAAAAACTAAAATTAAGTAAAAACGCGGGTTACTCACGTGAATATACTGAGAAAAGCTCTACTAGTTTCTGAGCTGCGCGACGTCGCCGCGACCGCGCACGCTGCTCATGAGGAAGAACCCCTCTGTGGTTCGAAACTAGTAGAGCTTTTCTCAGTATATTCACGTGAGTAACCCGCGTTTTTACTTAATTTAGTATGTCTCACGATAGTTATTATAAAAAAAGTAAAACGTAGTTTGTATTTATAATGCTACTTATCCGTTTGAATGTCCAGGATAAAATCATACAGGTCAGTGGGTATCTGTATGGATAAGATATAATAGGGTAGGTGACAAATTTTTATTTTAAACTGTCAAATACCAAGCGGTCACCGGTGACCGCAACCTATTGTTCTATAATTGTGTCTGCAAAACCGGTACTCGACGAGTTAATATCCGTCTGGGAGATTATTTTAAAACATTAGACACATATTTTTTATTTTCTTACAGATATAAAGACTTTTAACAATGTATTGATTTGAAATATCTCATGTTATCACTTCTAGGAACATTCAATACGTAGAAATGATGTTTTAGCGCCCACTACTAAACTTTGATTCGTTTTGTCTAGGTGTTGGTTTTTTATATGACAAATAAATAATTATGTGTCTAATATATTTTCATTCCCTAACTGAACTATTTAGTTAGAAAGTGATTAAACTGTGAAACACCAAGCGGTCACCGGTGACCGCAACCTATTGTTCTCAGAAAGTCTATTTCTTAAAGGATCATAAATTAACCCAGCAGCACTGAAAAGCTGCTCACTCGGTACACTGCCAGGCGGCGGAGAGAGGTGCTGTCTGACTAAAGCACTTAAACTGTTGTACTTGGTATGCATTTTCCACCATAAAAGTGGATTTTCACTGAGTGTCAACCTTTGTGTCTATAGTGACGGTACTCAACGAGTTAAGTTTAAAATCGAATAAAGAAATTTGACAGAATAGTTTATGTTGACAAGCTGGCCACTTTTGTAACATATTATAAATGCTGGTTACATTATACATAATACCTAAATGTGTTAATTTATTGTGTTAAGCTTATAAAAACTAGTTTGTAACCTTGACTTATTTCAATATTTCAAGATCAGGCCATTTCATTTTATTAAGAAAATTAATTTTGCGTGTTGCGTGTTTATTTCCTCAGTCTATCTCCTTCTTTCATTCAAGTGTAAAATAAGCTTGGCTATAATCTGCATGATGAAAGTAGTTGTTAAAAAAAAATATACTAAACCAGCTTATAGACTGCCTCGTTGGCCAAGTGGTCGCAAGTGCGACTGCAAAGGCAAGGGGTCTCGCGTTCGATTCCTAGGTCGGGCAAAGATTTACTAGGTTTTTTTAAAAAAAATCTCAGTTGTAGCACGGAGTCTGGAATTGTGCCCGGTATATGGCAAAAGGCTCACCCCCTATTACATGGGACTCATAACATAACTAGTGAAAAGTGGGTGTTACAACTTACATTGTACAGTGGTATAATGTGCACCTCTGCCTATCCCTTCGAGGATAAAAGATTTTTCTGGTGAAAATTGCTGTTAGTAGCATTGGGTTGGGGGCTTAGGTGAGGCGAGAGAGTCTCAGACTCTTACTTACTAAACACTAAGTACCATGTTCCTACTTTTGCTTTGAAAAAGGCTACCGAGGCTCGGGCTCGAAGTGCAGTAGGACCGGGGTGGTTTTTAGTCAATAGTCTGACACTACCTCCCGCTTCACCCAGGGTGGGAGAAATCATTCGATGATTTGTCCGTCTTAAAAAAAATACTCCTCCTATGGGTGTTAGGTTTTCCACAGCCCCGAGTAAATGAGTAATTTGCAGTCTAGAATTGGGTATAAAAATTAAAAATGTAATTAGTCCGTAAGTTAGGTAATGAAAAAATATTAGACACGTATTTTTCTATTTTGTCGTATAATACTTAGATAAGACGAATCAAAGTTTAGGAGTGGGGGCTAAAACGTCATTTCTACGTATAAAATGTACATAGAAGTGACGTCACGCGACATTTCAAATTAATATATCGTCGAAAGTATTCGTATCTGTAATAAATTAATAAATACCGTGTCTAATGATTTAAAATAATCTACCACACGGACATTAAAATAAAAATTAGGCATCTACCCTATTACGCCGGTATATATCTGTATGCTAGTAGCCCCGCTTAAATTGGTTTTACGAATTGCGCTTCACTTTTCTGCCTACCCGTATTTGCGCAGTTGGCTAGTCTGGCTATAAGACGTTATTACTAATAATATCCTATTTATTTTATAGTATCAGCATTTCCATGTTTCTTTTAAGAGTTAGTCAGGGCAAATACAACTTACTTATTTATTTATGTTTTTAAAGACCACTTCTTAAATTAGGCGACTGCTTGTTCAACGAAGCTGTCACATATTTATTTGAAGGCACGGTTGTTACGTTGGCTGGACGACCGGCAGCCGCGTAACTCTTTGTGTGATCCACTGTGATGAACTTGTATGTTTGTAAACACACCCACGACACAGAAAAGAAAACACAGAAAATCCTAGAGTGGGGCCACGTTTTTTTTTAAATCTCATAATCAATATTGTCTTTACCTTCCACAGCTGCAAAGGTCACATCACCTCGAACCAACGGATTACCAGCACTCTCCACTATCGATGGAGCAACTCCATCAAGCGATGCAATCGTCAGTAGCGAGTACAATCGTCCACAACCTAGAACTACCTCTGTCTCCTCGACAAATATCATCCTTAATGCTAAAAACGAATCATCTGCAACGGAACCTAAACTTCAACGAAGTTCCAGCTCACATGCAACGAAATATCACATCGGAATTGGATCTAGTGCATAATCTAAACGAACTACCTCAAAATCTAAATAGGCATGATGACTTATTAGGGCAGAATCTGAGCAGGAATCTAGATTTGTCTCTAAGATCTTTAGGATCCGATCTGGACCTTCAGAACAATTTAAGTCAACTGGCGCAGAATTTGAACGAGAATTTGACCGCGGATTTGAGTCGTATAAGCGATTTGAGAACAGATATGCCTCACGATTTAAGCCATGAAATAGATTTGTCGCATCATTTAAATAGGCCAAGTATGGATCAAGAGATTTTGGGCCAAGATGAGACGAGACGGACTCCCATAGTGATGCAGGATCCTCATATGTTGGATCAAAGTTTGGGGCCAAGGTTGGGGGCTCCGATGAATGTCCATGAACGGTTGGACCAACAGGAACATATGTTACCAATGCCATTTCATATTAAGTCGGAACAAGAAGATGATGGATATTTTTACGAAAATATCAATCCGGTCATCAACAGTGTTTCGAGTTTAAATGGTGAGTGTTTTTTTTTGTCTTTTTTGACTATTTTAAAGTTGGTCAAAGGTATATCTTTGTCTTTGAAGTCACATTATGGATTTCAGTTCCTAAAATGAAGTTTAGTAACGATTTTTGTGGTGTTGCCTTGATTCGGGGTTTAAACTGTCAAACACCAAGCGGTAACCGGTGACCGCAACCTATTGTTCTATAATTGTGTCTACAAAACCGGTACTCGACCAGTTAAAACTTAAAAGCTATCTAACTTATCTTTCAAATGAAGGATAACTAATGTTTCTTCCTGTAATTTTTCAGGCACTTTCTTTGCGTAAACTGGTTCATTTTAGGAACTATAATTTATAGGCAAAATGCTAACATACATTGGAACTCTAATAACCCAGGGTAAACAATGTACAAAATTACCTACTATCCTTCGTCGTTTTTGTCAAAATTGCTCTCCCTTTGCAGAACTTCGCCTCGAAAATTAAAGTAGTTATCTACTAAAATAACTTTATTTGACTAGTAAAATCAGTAATTCACATGTAGGTAACCTTTCCAAAGCATTATAACCTTTAAGAATATTATAATTGAAAGTATTTTCGTACTGAATCAATTACCAAACTTGTTTTATAATAGTTAAATGGTTTTATTCAATACTAGCTTTTTTGCGTTGCGCTATCGTGAGCTAGGTATAAGTATAATCTAGATTTCTTCTACTAAGTAGGTATTTCATTTCTCCTTCCATATTGGAAAAATTGTCACAAATAAAGTTATCAAAAGTTAGGTATTTGGGGTGGCCACAAGCCTTCTTTTGTCGCGATCGTAACCGTAATAATATAAATTTAAGAAGTTTTTTTAATGAAAAGAAAATGACATCAGCGACTTGTAGTTCGAAAAATTTATTCAATCTATATTTCCGAAAAAGTAATGATTGTGTCAGATATTCAACTTTAAAATTGTTCCACTGCACTGCCGAGCAAAGAACACCCGTAACACCAGAGGAGTTATAAGTCTATTGTCATTTTTAACAATTGGCGATTTGGGGATCGGGAGACCGAAATACAAGCTATATTTCACGGTGGTTTCCTTTGAAGCCGTGGTAGCACTTCGATTGAACCGGACTATTCATGCAAAGAAGCAGCATAGTTTTCTGACATCATAAAATTACCAATCAGATGAAAAGAACATTATCATTATCATCAACAGCCTCTTCCAATAAGTGCCCAAGACTGAGTAAAGGCTTCTCCCCCATTTGAATTACCAACAGGGAAAGAGCGCACTCCTTCTTAGCCGGCCTGTGACTCCTCTGGTGTTGCGAGTGCTATGGGCGGCGCTGATCGCTTACCATCAGATGATCAAATGATCTGTTCGTTTACCTCCCATTCCATAAACAACATACATTGAATTTTCTCTTCACTCATTCGATTGGCGTTTAAATACCATTTTTCCTCACAACGTTTCCCTTCATTTTATGGTCGATTAAGAAAGGTAGATGTAACCTTTATTTGAATATTTTGCACAAAACTTTGCATTCCTTTTTAAACTATGACGTCTTAGAGTGCATTAAAAAACAAGATGTATTCGTTAATGTGTTTTATTTATTTAAATTATTATATGTGTATATGATAGAATGCGCAGATTGCAATTCATTTAAATAATATAAGTATTTGGGAGATAACTAATAGACGATTTGGCTGATGGGGCAAAAAAGTTCTAATATGGAGGCCACCGTACTAGCAAGCGCAGCGAATGACGTCTATCCACAAGGTAGATGGATTCGCAGGCCTTCGTCTGCGACTTACTCGCGGTTTCATGCGTGGGTCGGCTCCTATTGATGACAAGTTTTGTTTGTTTGATTTTAACATATCTGCAATTATTAGAAATACCCTTAACCGACGAGCATGGAGCCGCGGTGAACGTAAAAGGTTACTGGGGCTCCGGCTCGAAGTGCAGGAGTAGGACCGGGGTGGTTTTTAGTCAGGAAGAGTCTGACACTCCCTCCCGCTTCACCCAAGCGGGAGTCGCTCGATGATTTTCCCCTTAAAAAAACCGACGAGCATTCATGTAAAGACTGATGACTGTTGAAGCGAAAGTGGTATGTAAGAATCGTAGCAATTGGCGATCCATAGTCTCTGCATACCCTCATGGGAGACAGGTGTGAAGTTACGAATGTATGTTTCAAATATGAAATAAGTGTTGTATAATTTTATAATTTGTAATATCAGACTTTTGCCCGTTTTTGCCAATCTCTTTTAACTCGAGTACCGGTTTTGTAGACACAATTATAGAACAATAGGTTGCGGTCACCGGTGACCGCTTGGTGTTTGACAGTTTAAATTTTAAAGAATACCTCAGCTGAGAACCTATTAGTGACACCTTACGGTACAAGTAGAAGGTTAAATTAGGTGCTATGTCAATCAAAGTAATTTTTAATTATGAAATGGATTAGGGGTGATTAAAAACTGCTATAAGACCCCTGATAAAGATCACAGTAAACCGCTGACGAAAACTGTAAACGAAACACAACGCAAGCGTTGTTTCACGTCGGTTTTTTGTGGGGCCGTGTTATCACTCTTGTTAGTATGGGAGATACTAAAAATGACATTGAAGTTTCTGTCAAAAAGTTAAATTAATCTCAGGATTATCTTTCTCGAAATCTCAGGATTTCGGGCTAAAATCAGTTTTTGGCCGTTAGCTGGCACTTAAGATACCAACAAATAGGGATTGTAACAAATTAATTCATCTCTGCCGTCATCACGCCTTCATTTAAAAAGAGGTAATGAATTATTTTCACATTTCTAACATAATTTTCTCAAGGTCAAGTCCGAATCTGAATAGCCGTTAATAAATTAAAATGACTTTATAAATTATTCAAATTTTATCGTTGACGTAAGCCGTAAGGGGCAGTGCACATCGAATGGAGAATGCATAACGTATGTTTAAAGTTAGTTATATTTTGTCTCATTATAATTTCCGGAGGTCATTATCAATTTTATGCTGAATTATGCAGCAGTTTGTTAAGAGCCGGGACAGTTCAATGCTGGCTAGGGGTCTCCCGTACACAAGACGGTTTGCGGTAGCCCTCAAGTTTCACAGACAGGTTGGACATCAAATGTCTAGTACTCAGAAGCGGATAAACCTAGAGAGTGCCCTAGGCAAGCACCTCACAGACGGCCCTAAGGTTTTTTAGCGCCGCCCATGGTCTATAGACACGCATCTCGCGACGTCTCTATGTAACCTGGCGCCGTAGGCACTTGCGGAGTTCCCCTTAGGGATAATACAGTTCTGCTTGTACTCTAGTCAGTTCTAACGACCTCCACGGGGTGAGAAGGGGTCGTGATAGTGACAAATGTCGTAGCTTTGCCGTCAAAGCATAAGCTGTTAATGTATAGGAGATCTTAAACTAAAAGTACTTTCATTTTAGTGATGGTTTATGTTATAAGTTTCGTAAAAAATTCTAAATTAATTGTTATTTTCGGCTTACTCACTTAATTATTTGACGAGGAACTCGACTAGTTTCAAGCCATGCTAGAGGCTTGAAGAAAAGAGCGTATTCCTTTTTAAAAGGCCGGCGAGGCACCTGTGACTCTTCTGGTGTTGCGGGTGTCCACGGGCGGCGCTGATCGCTTACCATCAGGTGATCCGTCTGCTCGTTTGCCTCCTATTCCATAAAAAAGGCTCATATTCATGAGCAGCATTCCGCGACCCGCGACTTGACGACTGTCGCGTTGTTACTCGTTAAATTATTACGTGAGTAAGCCGAAAAAGATAATAATTAATTTAGTGATAGTTGTTTAAACTTTCAATGCTTTTTTCTTGAATAAAAATCATGTTCGTCTACACAAGCCCCTAATTAAAACATTGCATCCCAATATACTAGTTTTTTTATTAGGCGCCACTCGTTTCCAGTCGCTTCTAAAATAGCACATTTACATCAGATCTCATCTTTAAACCTGAATCCAACCCATTAGATTGTTAGACTCGTCTGTATGAAAAAAACTGCTTAGAACATAAAAAAATGCATGAATTAATTTGTATGTATGTATGTATGATGAGAAAAAGGTCATAGGATCTTGATTTTGTTTGCTCTGATCGCCTTGATAAGTGGGTGCAAGTTTGCCGTGGTTATGGATCGGTGGGGCAAAGATTTATTGGGTGTTTCTAAGTTATACTGACGTTTGAAGGCAACGAAGATAGCGTGATGACGGCGGAGTATCATCACTCCCACCGCGGTTGTAGTATACATACTCTTTCTGCCTTTAGGCTTAATTCATTCTGTCTCCTGCAGTAATTCACCGAGGGAAGTGGAAACTATAGTTTTTTTTTTCTTCTCTTATAATATTTTCTGATTCTTTTCGTTGCGGGAACCAAGACAGTTACTCATGTCCCTGGGACGCGTCGGACTTCAGTGTTCTGGTGTTTTCATGGTTGTATCTACTGTAGATCCTGGCTTTCAGGAGTTGCAGCGGTTTTGGGAGGTTGTGGCGGGCTTGAACAATAAAAAAATCCCTATGCTCGACTAAGGGACTACACATTTGACAGAGACCGGGCAGTAGCGCTCTCTGATGAACCTGAACCTTTTATACTTCGATTTCCAATCCGTCTGCTTAGTGGTAAGCAGCGAAGCTTTTTATGTAGAGGAGGCCTATATTTAGCGGTGGACTATGACGATTATATAGGACTCGTTGTTGGCAAATCAATGCTTTCCTAGATCCATTAACACATTAGTTTGCCGTAAAAAGTATGGAAAGAAGCGATAGGGTATTTGCCTAAATTTTATTTCAATGTCCGTCTGGTAGATTCATTTAAAACATTACCTCCATTTAAAACATACATTACGAGGTAGACACGTATTTTTTCTTTTCTCACAAAATTAAATACTTTCGACGATAATATTAATCTGAAATATCGACGCAACGACCTCCCACTCCTACACTTAACTCCATTTTATCTAAGTATTATACGAGAAAATAAAAAAAATACGTGTCGAATATTTTTTCATTATCTAACTGACGGACTAA